AGGCCTAAAATCAAGGCATGGCTGCCTTAGGTTGTCGTCCAGAGATTCCTTTCAAAGATTCGGTCACCTTTTTCGAGTTGGAATCTAGAGAAATAATTGCATGAATTTATTCGTTAAAAAGGTGACCTCACCCACGCCCAAGCATGCCCCAACCATACTTGCCCAGGCGGGACCCGGGCTCATTAGCTCATTAGCTCATTAGCTCATTAGCTCATTAGCTCATTAGCTCATTAGCTCATTAGCTCATTAACCGAGAGCCTCGTCGAATGGAAACCGAGGGCGTCGCTCTGATCAGCCTCAGATTCCAGCGAATCGGATTTTTTTCGGTTTGCGCATCCCTCTCGGGGTTTGGAAGTCGAAAGGAATCTACTTCGATCTAACGTTTCGACTGCAGCAGTGAAAATACGTTGCGAAAGCGGATCGGAGCGGCACGCGTTAACACCAAACGAATACCCAGGTGGACACCCAGGTGGACACCCAGGTGGACACCCAGGTGGACACCAGAGGTACGCAGGTGTTTGGAGCTGCCGTTCGAGCCGAAGTGAAACGAGTGGCACGGAAGAAATTCGGTGAAGAGATGGAAACTCACCAGGCTGGCAAGTCGATGGCGATGGCAAAGCAGGCAACGTGCTCTCTCGGTCGTGAGCGGAGATATTTTTAAGGCGGGAGAAATATTTTAAGGAGCTCTTAAACCCACCCGCTGCGGGTGCACCGAAGCTTGTCTCCTGGGAGAATATAGTCCCACCGTGGCGGAAATTCGATATGCGATGGCTAGCTCGAAGAACGGAGAGTCTCCTTGCGTGGAAGAAATCCGAGACCTTTCAAAAGAATTGGCTCAAGGTTCAAGTACTTCGGTGTCTGGTTCTCGAGTGCTGGGCGATACGGGATCGAGATCGACGGGCGCATCCGCAGGGCTTCCGCAGGGCTTCCGCTGGGCTTCCGCAGAAATTTCGGTCATGAAGAGCGTCTACCCCGTCACCCTCACCTGCGGTCACGAACCTTGGGGACTCTCTTCGGGAGTCTCTCTTTGGGAGACTCCCGAAGAGAGTCATCAACCCCGAATTGACGGGCCGAGCATCAGTCGATGAGCTCTGGGTAAGCCAAACGGACGACATCGAGACGACACGAGAGGGTCGACATTGCACCTGCGGAGCTTGCGTCCGCGGAATCGCGAAGAATTCCGAAGAATCTCGAAGAAGAATCATTTAGAATAACAAAGAAAAAGCGACTTCACCCTTTGCCCTTACCCGTCGAGGGCTCATTTCCTATTTCCACCGTGCTCCGACGCGACTGTGACGAAAATAACTCCGATCGAGAGCTGATCGGCCTCGACTTCCAACTGTTGCAAGTCGGAAATCAGAGCTAAAAACGATTTCCTGCCCTCACGAAACGGAAATAAATTTGAACCGTATTGTCTGAGATGCGTCCGATGTCATTATTCCCTTCTCGTGAATTCGAGGTTAGCAGAAAAAAGGGGAAAATTAGGCGTCAGTTGGAAGTTTGATTCGTAACCTACCTTAAGAGTACCATACCCTTATGTTCCCCTATCTCATTATCTACCTTACATGGTGATCCAGACAGAAAGCGGAACTCCCACTTGCTTCCGGGCTTTGGCACCTGAATCCGTCCTCCGTGAGCGCCTGGCATCACGCCTGGCATGGAGGTCTTCAGAAGGACCTTCTCTTGGAATGTATTAGCCCGCATGGTGCCTTTCTTCATGTTGCAATCGAGGCAGCGTGCGACTGGATAGGAAGTGCATCCTGAAATACATTCAGATCTCACCACCATGAAGTGCATCCATTCTTGAAAGAGATTCCAATCTCTCGCCTTCACGAGGTCGACATTCGCGCTTGCGCGGCAAGAGCAGTTCATTTAGTGCAGGGGTCATCGTCATGGTCTTAGCTTTGCTATCGCTGTCGAGGGAAGTCTGGAATTGCGAGACACGATGAATGGTAGGTGTTCCAGAAAAGAATGGGTTTTTATCTAGTTTTCCGTTTTTTTTTTCCATTATTACGTATTACCTGGCTCTCTTCAGTCGTTTTTTGGTGAGCCAAATGCGAGAAAAATGCGACCCAGACCTTTCCCCAATCCGTTCCGCTTCCGTTTTGGAAATGTAGGAAATCAGACCGTTGCGGCAGTAGAGACACTCGTTTTGGCACGCTTCCATTGCCTCTTACTTCATCTCGGCCGTGACGGGTTCGCATGACATCGAATAGCATTTGCGTTGGAAGCGCATAATCAGGATTTTATTCATTCAGTAATTGCATACACAAGTTCTCCTTCCCTGACTTTGACGTATCAAGGCAATTGACCCTATCAAGGCAATTGACAAATATCTTATCCCTGACGGATTTCTGCCGGGGGAGGGAACGTGGCAGCGAGTGAGACATGCAGTCGCTGGTCCGCTACCTAGTGTAGGTGGAGGGCCACCAGCTCTCTTCCCGTAATGTAGCTGTCACTCCCCTAGCTGCAGTATCAAGAGTCCCCACTAGATGGCATCCATGATCCCTGCACCCTACAAAGGCAAGTAGGTACAAGTCTTCTTGCTTTAGCAAAAGTGTTTCTTCTCCGTCTTTTCTCTTTTTATTGTGCAATTCATAAACAGACATAAAGATAGCGTGGAATTATGATGTTTTGATTGCAATATAAGACTCGTGGAATTTTTAAATGCTGAAGTTAAGTGCGGAGATATAGAATTGTACAGGACTCGAGAAGGATAGAGTGCAAAAATTCCTTAAATCTTAACACATATCTTCCATGCGATGCGATTCGGTACACGTAGACTCCTGTTCGCCTCCTCAGCGTTTCGTATTGGACGCGGAAAAAGAGAGCTATGGGTCATCTTGGTACCCTTTGGTTGAATCTTCTGAGATGGCTAGAGTTCCAAGTTATAAAAATGAATCGGATATGCATGGAAGCATCAGGTCCTTTCGCAACTGATGATGAATCATAAACGAGCTAACTGGTGATGTGCCCAGAAGGTGGCGGGCCAGTGCTGGCATGTGGGACATGTACCTGATGGCCCAAAACCTAGTAAAGGTGGTGGGCCACCAGCTTTCTTCTCCATACGTAGGCGGTGGCCCATCACCTACGTGCTACATGAGTCATCAACCTTGAATTGACGGTCAGAACACCAGTCGGTAAGCCGAACGGACGACATTGAGCATCGCGTTGAACCGTCAAGAGAGGGTCGACGTTCCACCTGCGTCTGTGAAATAGCGAAGAATTCGAGATAAGCCACCTCGTAAATGCATGTATGTAAATGGAAGAGATGCATCATTTAGAACAAAAAAAAAGCGACTCTATCCTTTGCCCTTATCCGTCAATGGCTCATTTATTATTTCCGAATGTCAACCTCCTACGCAACAGATGTGAAAATAATTCCGGTCGAAGGCTGGTCTGCTCTTACTTCCAACTGGTGCAAGCTGGAAACCGAAGCAAGAAAATAATTCTTATTCTCATGAAACGGAAATAAATTTGAACCGAATTGTCTACGATGTCTTTTCCCCCTTCTTGTGAATTCAAGGAGAGCAGAAAAAAGGGGGAAATTAGGTGTCAGTTGAAAGTTTGATTCGTAACCTACCTTAAGAGTTCCATACCCTTATGTACCCTAACCTCATTATCTATGATACTTCATGTGGTGATCCAGAGAGAAAGCGGGACTCCCACTTGCTTCCGGGCTTTGGCACCTGAATCCGTCCTCCGTGAGCGCCTGGCATCACGCCTGGCATGGAGGTCTTCAGAAGGGCCTTCTCTTGGAATGTATTAGCCCGCATGGTGCCTTTCTTCATGTTGCAATCGAGGCAGCGTGCGACTGGATAGGAAGTGCATGCTGAAATACATTCAGATCTCTCACCATGAAGAGGTTGACCTTCGCCCTCGCCTGGGAAGAACGGGATATCTAATGGAGAGGCCATCGTGGCCTCCACCGCCGTTATCAAGGAGGGAAGGATGGAATTGCAAAACGTGATAAGTGTCATACGGATGCATTCGAGAAAATTCCAACTGTTTTTTCCCCCTTTTCCCGCTTACTGTTGCTTCTGGTCACAATCTCTTCACCATCTGTGACGCTGACTCAAGAGTCACGTGACCCTTTCGCTTGCTGAATTAAAATAAAATGTGACCCGTTTCTTTCTCCAGGCCGTTCCTCCAAGAACCGTTTTTAAATTCATTCGTTGTGGACTCACTTTTTCCTGATGATGTGGTCAGCAGTCGCGTTCTCCTTCGTCAGCCGCTTGCGACTCGTTTTGGAACGCTTCCATCGCGTTTTGCCGGTCGTGAAAGGCTTCCATGACATTGCAATGTGTCTGCGTCTCAAAAACACAGCCGACGATTTATTTCGTATATCGATTCCATACTCGAAATTGCCACTCGAGAAAGGTCGAAAGAACTTCCCTCAAGGCGATATGCGTCTGAATAAAAAATTGATGAGCAGATTGCTTTTTTTCAAGGTGTTTATGAGTGCCTCACACGCAAATGGCACACAGCTAAGTCATCTAGCTGGGACGATTTTCTCTAAATTCCACATTGAACTTTTCGGGATTCTCCTTTGGGGAGAATCCTGAGAAGAAAGACAAGTTGAACCAATAACTTGAGTGGAACGGGAATGGAATCTGGAAAAAAGATTTCGAACCATCTGGGCCGGAGCCAACAAGGAAAGGTCTTGGGTGAAATCGAAATGAATTTTTCCCTGTTGGATGCCCTCAGATGATATCAACAACATGCTTGAAGCTACCACAGTTGCATAATGCCTCGGAGTACGGGGCATTAATCAGTGCTGCACGTGTCGTCACTGTCAGTTATTTTGATCGACTGTTACTTTCAAGTGAAGGGAGAGAAAACAAATATTTATTACCAGATCGTGTTTATTATTATGCATTCCCAAGCTGTCAATGGTCACTATTTCTGGATATAATATGGATGCAATTGTGATAACATGATGCAATTCTTACAGAATATAAACGCGGTGCAAATAATGAAAATCGATTGGAGGAGAGGTTTCACAGAAGAGAGAAAAATGGGGAATTTCCATGTAGTCGGATAGCAGTTTTATTCCTCTTCGTCTTTTGGTGCTCTAGACAGAACGTGGTACTCCCGCCGGCTATCTGGCTTTGGCACCTGAATCCGTCCTCCGTGAGCGCCCAGCATCGGGGTGTCTTCAGGAGGATCTTCGTCTGGAATTTATGAGCCCGGGTCTTGCCTTTCCTCTCTTTGCATTCGTGGCAGCATGCGACTAGATCGGCAGTGCGTGCTTTCCTGAAAGAAGTGAAACTCTCTGGAAAATGCGCTGAAACATGGCGAGAACGATGCAGTTAGAGCAGGGGCCCTCGTCTGGCCTTCAACTGCCATTATTAAGAAGTGAAGACTGCATGCGAAAGAAAAGGATTAGATTCATATAGTTTACGTTCGGGAAAAGTTTTTTCCATGTTTCTTTCCACCCTTTTTCCCCGTCGCTTTTTTGATGGGACCCTGCCTCTTCAAGAACTAATAGACTCCGTTACCAGCCGAATGTGAAAAAAAGTGATCCTGATCGTTCTGAAAATCATGTCTTGAGGTCCCATCTGGTAACGCATTCGTCGCGGACTCACTTTTTTTTGATGAGGTTGTCAACAGTCGCGTTTTCCTCCGTGAGACCGTCGCGACAGTAGAAGCACTCGTTCCGGCACGCCTCCATCGCCTCTTCCATCGTCTCGGGCGTGACGGGCTGGCTCGTCCTTGCCACGCGTCTGCTTCGGAAGAGCGCCGTTGCGGTTTCGTTCAAACTGCGGTTTCATGCGTGAGTGCAGCTATTCGATATGCCGATGTAACTTCTTTCAAAGGGGGGGGGGGGGGGGGGGGGAAGGCAATCTCATCACTGACTGACATTTTGATCGCACTTTTAATGCTCGCTTTAAGTGATGGATACGGATATGAGTACTGATTGTCCATAGCATTTTCTCAATCTGTTCATAATCATTACTTCTGAGTTACCTTGGACTCTGAAGAGAATTCTCGAAAATGGCGCCAGTCCATTGTGCTGATTACTGACGAAATATCGCCTGAATAAAAAATACTGACGTCAAAGCAACAGCCCGACAAGGTTCCGCGGAAGGGCATGTTTGAATCTGCTACGCGAATTTCAGCTGCCGCACCCTGGTAACACCGTTGGAAAAACCACAACCCGCGCCAATCGCAAAAGAGTTCCCCGAAGCCGCGACGTACGCGATGGGAAGCGGACTCCAGCAACTTTTCTTTTCGTTCAAACTTGCCCGTCCTGAGACACTTGCTGACCCGTTGTTCTGACGTCGGTATTTTTATGGGCTATCTGGAACTCACCCGAAACAAAACCGAGAAACAAAAATATTTGCCAGTAAAACTCATTAGATAGCAGATGAACGTACATTTTACGGGCTCAAAATAAATTGCGTCATTCCCAAAATGCATAAATAAGTGACATCCAAGTGACCTACGGGAAACCCTGTGTTACTGATGGAAGAAAGGGTTTCAATCTCTAGAATCGAAGGGCTGCAATGGAATAAAAATGTGTCTCTGTTTTATATTCGACGCCCTGCTCTACTTAAAAAGAAGCATTAGGAACTTTCATCGGTCTACGACTGGGTAATGCGTAGAAAATAATATTTGGTACCAAACGCTTCATAAAAACTCAGAAGAGGATTTATCGAGCTCGACTTCTCGAATCCCCGGTTGCTTGATCTCTCTGGCGACGGCAACTGAGCGGCACATATGACGGGAAATGTTCATGTCCTGCATGGACAAGCGTGGATTCATTACATACTTTTTTTGGTGATCCCGGCAGGACGTGGTAGTTCCATCGGCTATCGGGCTTTGACACCTGAATCCGTCCTCCGTGAACCCACGGCATCGGGGTGTCTTCCGGAGGACCTTCTTTTGGAACGCGTTAGCCCGCTTCGTGCCTTTCTTCAACCTGCAGTCGAGGCAGCATGCGACTAGATCGACGTTGCGTCCATTCCTGAAAGAAATGAAACTCTCAATTCTCTGTATCGATGAAAATTCCCTGAACCATAGCTAGATGGAGCTGGGGTCTTCATCGTGGTCATGGATCCGATGCAGACTCACTTTCTGACGAGGTTGTCAACTGTCGCGTTTTCCTCCGTGAGACAGTTGCGACAGTAGAAGCACTCGTTCTGGCACGCTTCCATCGCCTCTCTCTTCGTCTCGGGCGTGACGGGCTCCCACGACACAGCGACGCGTCTGAGTTGGAATAACACCGTGTGGATTTCATTCA